TTGAACCCGACCAGAGGAAAGTCTTCAACCCCTTCTCAGTTCTCTCAACCACATCTCTAGGGCTTTTAAACAGAGACAAGCAATTAAGGAAAATAGAATGATATCCACAAGGCACCTTGGTGCCACTCAAGTACAAAAGTAGTTACCAACGAGAACCAAACAAAACATCTATAAGGTCTTCTAAGTTGTCCGAGTTGAAGAGAGGATGACCTTTTAAACAAAATATCAAAAGTCTGCTATTGTTGATATCGAGTATTAGCAAAAAGAGAGCAAAGTCCTTCAGAAGTTCTTTTGAGCATATTTGCTTCCTAATATTGAGCCTATATGTTGGAAAAAATTTTGCAGTCAAAATTGATTACCTTAATTGTTTCTGATATATACCCTTGTAATCAACCTTGTAATTGCAATCATGAGTACTGCCTCCAAACTATGAAATCAATTACATAACATCTCATTACATTAAATCTAACCAAACATGCTACTTCTTTCCAAATTATACTAAAAATGTAAGGGCATAAGGGGGATAATATTTTTCCTGGCTTTTCCCAATCTGGTACTGTCCCACAACTCATCCAGCTGTGGTTAAGCAAGTCTTAGCAGAATCCCAAAACCATCTAGCCTTGGTCAAAAACTTAACTTTATAGTTTAGTTACTTATCATTTTGCGGGCTTTTGTACATTTGGAGATAAAATAACTGGGTTAAATGAGACTGTTATCATAACAAGAGAAGGACTATTGAAACTTGTAGTGTGATTTGTCAGCCTTTTATATATTCATAAAAATTAAATTAAATATTTCATTACTGTATTCATTGGAGAGAGATGGAGATTTATGGAGTCTTTTTAGTTCGTGGAGATCTTTTTTCGAACTGAGGTGTGCAGCGTTAAACTACTTCTCTTTTTGAAATTGTGCGGTCTTTTTAGTTCCTATGATAAGAATAAGCTGATGTCAACTGCATATTACCGAACAAACCTTTACTGACGGGAAATACTATTGAAACTTGTAGTGTGATTTTTCAGCTTTTTATATATTCATAAAAATCAAATTTACTACTTCTTTTACTATGTTGTATGAATGATTATGGAGATATATGGGGTTCTATGGA